TTCCATTTTTTCCTTCTTTTTCTCTCTTTTTTCTGCCTTTTCAGTTCTGCCCAGTTTTGTCGGCTGCCCATCCAAGCCTCCGACACGCTGCAAGCGACTGCGACACGCGTCGGCGACGCGTTGGAGGCGTATCGGTGTCCGATACGTATCGGACACCAATATGTTGTCTCCGGCAGCATGTCGGTGCTTCTGAGCCGGTGATATTTCCTTTACATTTGATGACCCTAATGACATAAATCTTCCCACAGCAATCAACCTTGATGATTAATTTATGGAAAAGTAGGGAAAGCATATAGTGTACAAGGACATTCCTTGCTTGGATCTTTCAAAAAATATCAGGCCCAATTATGTGCCTATAGAATTCTGTGCCTTTGTTTAAGGCCGGAGATACCCCAGGGAACAATTGGAATGTTTGGACAGAAGTGCAGACTCTNTTCCCACAGCAATCAACCTTGTTGATTATTTTATGGATAAGTGGCTCGTCAATTTTTTTTTAGTGTTTTTTTCACTAGCCGACTTGGCTCGTGGGCAGCTCGTGAAAAAACGAACCGAGCCGAGCTCAGCTCGCCTAGCGAGCCTGCCGTTTAGCTCGTGCTCGGGCTCGTCTTTTGAAGACGAGCCCGAGCTGCTCGTGGCTCGAAGCCCACGAGCCGGCTCGGCTCGATTGCCACCACTACTTCTATTATAGAAAAAAAGGGCTGAGGTAAGATATATAGCCCCATTTGACACACGTTAATTTCTCATTCTCATTCTCCATTTCAATCACACATTCTCCAAATAAAATAATATTACACACAAATCAAAAACTTTTTATTACTTTTCTATCACACATTCTCACATCAATCACTATTCCAAAAATTTTATTCTTCTCAAAATTAGATTTCAACACAAGTATATATACAAGCATACGTAGATAGAGATAGGGATGGGTGGCTGGAGAAAACGAAATTACGCAAAGACTTGGCAGAAGAAAAATAAAAAGGGGACGCACACGTAGCCGATAGAAAGACGGACATGCATCGAAGAATAAAATTCCAGATTCTTGTGCAATAATTCATCAATATTTGTGCAAGAATTTTGGGATTAATCACGTCAATTTTTGGTGATAGTTTTTAACTTTTGCCTATTTAATTCCAACATTATGAGTAGCTTAATTATTTTAGTACTATGATTTTCGATGAACCTTATATTTAACTTATGATTTTATTTCTTTTTCACTTTCAAAGCACGTTTTTAATTAATGAATGATTGACATGTATTTAATTTTCTTTACAATTATATGCGCAATAATTGCACGAGTTTTGTTGATTGTTTTACCTTCGAAAGATTGAAAATAAGTTAGATATAAGGTCAATTGTCATAAAGTCCGATAAATGATAGAAATATATCATTATGATTTATGTGATCTTTAAGTATTCATAAATCTTTATTGCATTTTTATATGTTCATATCCATCATAAAAATATAGTGAGGTCACATGTAATATGTTTAAT